TATTGAATACATGAATACATAGAAAATGCTTAGAACAGTACTTGGCGAATAATCAGAACTCAACTGTTAAATATAATTATTAGAATTCTTTAGAAATTCAATGCTACTAATTTATTGGGAGGAAAACATTCTTTCTTAACAACTTAGAAGATAAAAGGATTTATTTTTTCCAGGTAGCCCCAGTCTAAAACCCTTTATAGGCTGATATGTAAATCTTTATAAAGGTTATGGCAAACATATTTCTGGGAGGAATACACTGATGTATATGAGTATGCATGTTGATTATAGTTGCCTGGCAAAAGATTGCAGGCAGGTGTTTATTTCCCACCATTGAGCTCTAATGTTTTAACAGGAAGTGACTAGCCACAATATTTAATCAAATTTCCTGATTTTGATCTACTAGCAAGTTGTCATTCATGACTAAATTAATCATGTGAAGATCAAAGATTGAAATTATAAACTCAGGAAGCCAAGCTATTACTTCTAGACTAGGATACTCTAGATTAATGTTCAATCCAATTGTCTTTATGAACCAGCCTGGTCAGGACTTGAACATGATTTAATTGTATCCATATATTGTTCTTTCTTTTCCAACAACACCAACCACAATGAAATGATGGGGTTGGGGAAAAAAATAATTGTCTTGTGCTAAAATCACACTGCTTCCAGTAGTCTGATGTGTTAAACCATGTGCACAATTTAAACTAAAGAAGATATGACTCTGTTTAACAGAGATAGTTACCTTTCTATGACTTTTACTTGAGAAATTTTAATTATTTCTACACAGCATGTTCTCAAGATTTGCCATAGTTAAGTTCAATTACTTTTATATTGTGTTTTTTTTTGCAAAAATCCTGTTGATAATATTTAAATTAATGTAAGAATGAGATAATATATCATCCCCATATAAAGATTAGAACTGATTTCTTACAATCATATAGTGATAAAATATATATTTAATAAATTTTGTTAATATACATAAAATATATATTTAATAATTTTTAATCGTTGGAAGGAAAATATGTTACACATGAAGTTATTTTAAAAAGTCTCAGACTTGTATTTTTTCTTCATTTGAGGCAGTATATTTCAACTATAAAGTATGTAATAGTCTGTTTTAGCCAAAGAAAACTCACCTTTCTGAGCTATAAAATATACAGAATTGAAAGCTGACACCTAATATATTTTTCATTGGATACAGATGTTCAATGTAAAATTCTTTTTTCAAGTATTCATGAAAAACAGGATAACTAAAAAGATATAATGCATAAAAAGTAAAAATCATCCCTTTTGATAAATTGTTAATGGCTTTTTAATGAAAGACATTTTTTCATTTTATGATTTATACATTCTTTTAAGTATATTATAATCATTTTATCACTTAAAATTATGAATGGAATGTTCAGATTACCATAGAACTTAATGAAATAATTCTACGTAAAGATTCTATTCCAAATGTAGAAATCTTGCAAGTAATTTGTAAAAAAATAATTCAACAATTTAGAGTTTGTCTTTACTTAAAATTTAAACTTATTTAAATAACATCATAATTAATAAAAGTATTTCTAATATTTACTTTTTGTAACTTTGTGAAATAACTTTATTATTAGAAAATGCAGGCCAATATGATGAATACACAATATAAATTCTGTTATGCTCACTGTTTTTGTATTTTGGACATGCTACTTTCATTTCTGAATTGGGCTGCACACAGTTTTGAAATAAAAGTTTTGCACAGGCTACCTGTGTAGTGAATAGTTAGAGCTACTGATGTTTTTCCACCTACAGAAGTCATTATCCTAATTGGGGGCTAAAATATGAACTATCCAGTAGAGGGAAAATAACATTTTATAAAAAGTAATTCTTTTTCACTCTTTTCTTACCCTGACCCCCAAAATCAAAACTAAAAAGTTATTTTAAGCAGCTGTTTCTTGAAATTCAAATATGTTAGCTATTGTGAGTTTAACTTACATAGTTTATCTGTTGTTCCAGTTGGATTTTGTTTATTTATTTATTTGTTCTTGAGATGGGGTTCTCATTCTATCGCCCAGGTAGGAGTGCAGTGACAACGATCTCTGCTCACTGCAACCTCTACCTCCCGGGTTCAAGCCATTCATTCTCCTGCCTCAGCCTCCTGAATAACTGGGATTATAGGCACGCGCTACCACACCTAGCTAATTTTTGAATTTTTAGTAGAGACAGGGTTCACCAAGTTAGCGAGGCTGGTCTTGAGCTCCTGACCTCAGGTGATCCACCTGCCTAGGCCTCCCAAAGTGCTGTGATTACAGGTGTGAGCCCCCACACCCAGCTGGATTATATTTATTTTAAATGTTTATGGAATTGAGCTACATGCATGTTTCTTAAGATAAAAGATGAGCCTTGAGCATCTTGGTATAAAACTTTAAAATAATTTCATTTTTATATTTTTGCTTTTAACTATTTCACAAAGATAATATTCAATATTATCTCAAAGTTTTCTAGCATTTTATTTCTTCATTTGTTCATTCATATACTCACCGAGCACATTTACTAGGTGCCTACTATGTGAATAACATGCTTACCTCTGTAGGAGATACAAAAAATAATTTTAAAAGATATACCTCAAGGTTTATAGCGTATTAAAGAAGACAAACACTGCATACAAAACGTACTACTAACAATAGAAGAATATGTTTGATCAGTGCCAGAGTAAGTGATATTCATAAGTATGACATCTAGACAAGAGATCAATGTATACTGGGAGAATCTCTTTCTGGAACTCTGATTAAAGGTAGAACTTGGCTAAGGAGGTAAAATGTAGGACACTGAAGTTGGGGCCATGCCAGGAACAAAAGCATAGCCGCAGAAATAGAAAGATCTGTGAGGGGAAGGCAGCCTATAGATAGATCATGGAGCAGTGTATAGGGATATTAGATGAGAAAGGTAGATTAGAGGAATACAGGAAGACTTTGGATATTGGGTTAAAGTGCTTAGTTTTCATATTCCAGTTAAAGAAGACTAGGAACTATGCAATAAAGGTAATCTGAAAATGCCTCAGTGAGGATGGTGTTTAGGAATATTAATTTTAGCAGGGGGCATGGTATGTATTGGAGAGAAAAGTTGAGGACACAAAAATAGCCATTGTTCTTGTTGCTGGAGGTTTAAGTATGACATCATGAAGATTTTTATTAAGGTTATGGCATAAGAAATAGATGGAAGCTGGCTGCACGCGGTGGCTCCCGCCTGTAATCCCAGCACTTCGGGAGGCTGAGGCGGGTGGATCACGAGATCAAGAGATCGAGACCATCTTGGTCAACATGGTGAAACCCCGTCTCTACTAAAAATACAAAAAATTAGCTGGGCATGGTGGCGCGTGCCTGTAATCCCAGCTACTCAGAAGGCTGAGGCAGGAGAATTGCCTGAACCCAGGAGGCGGAGGTTGCGGTGCGGTGAGCCGAGATCGCGCCATTGCACTCCAGCCTGGGTAACAAGAGCGAAACTCCGTCTCAAAAAAAGAAAAGAAAAGAAAAGAAATAGACGGAAGCTTGAATCAGAAGCCCTCTCCTATAGGACTTCTGATTAATAATGTATGGAAACGTAAGGCAGGAAAATGGAATATTCTGAAACTTAGATCAATAGGAACCAAAAAAAGGAGGGAGCTTTGAGAAAGATAAGTTTTGAAAGAGCATATAAGAAAGAAATGCAGTGGCACATTCTCAGCTCACTGCAGCCTCTGCCTCCTGGGCTCAAGCCACTCTCCCACTTTAGCCTCTTGAGTAGCTGGGACTACAGGAACACACTACCATGCTCAGCTAATTTTTCGTATTTTTAAAGAAATGAGATTTTCCCATGTTGCCCATGGCTGGTCTGTAACTCATGAGCTGAAGAGATTACAGGCCTGAGCTACTGTGCCCAGCCGACCTGTAATTATTTTAATCAGTAAAACCAGTTCAATAGAATTTAGAGATGTGGTTTTATACATAGGTCAAGCTATTAAAGTTCCCAATGGTGGCTTTTAAAATATATATACATGACTCTATTTTAAATTAAAGAAAACGATATGGCTGGATGCACCCCAGATTACATGACTGTAATGCCAGTACTTTGGGAGGCTGAGGCTGAGGCTAAGGATCACTTGAGCCCCAGGAGTTTGAAGCTGTGAGGCTGCAGTGAGCTCTGATCCTACCACTGCAGTCCAGATTGGATGATAGAGTACAATCCTGTCGAGAGAGAGAGAGAGAGAGAGAGAGAGAGAGAGAGAGAGAGAGAGACAGAAAGAGGGAGAGAGGGGCAGAAAGAGAGAGGGGCAGAAAGAGGGAGAGAGAGAGAGAAACGAGGTGGGGGGAGAGAGAGGCAGAAAGAGGTAGAGAGAGAGAGAGAGAGAGAGAAACGGGGGGAAGAGAGAGGCAGAAAGAGGGAGAGAGAGAGACAGAAAGAAGGAGAGAGTGGCAGAAAGAGGGAGAGGAGGCAGAAAGGGAGAGAGAGGGAGAGAGGGAGAGAGAGAAAAACGGGGGCGGGGAGAGAGAGAGAGAGAGAGAGATCTACAGTGTTCTTGTAGTCATATATACACCTAACAAAAAATACTTGTCCTGCATTATGTCCTGCCTTGTGGATCAAAGTAATTGAATGAGCCACAGAGGATGAGAATGGAATGAATAATGGAGGCCAAATTGTGTAATCACTGGTGAAGCAGGTTCTTTAAGTTTTGTGGTTAGTTTTCATTCCCCCTGATTATTAAATGATGAAACTCTTTCACCCAGAATATCACTTTGCCACCTTTAATGTGAAATAAAGCTTTTATGCAGTTAGAGCTATGTTATGAAAATATTAAATGTTGAGATTCTTGCAACCAAAGGAAGATAGAAAATTCCAAAGAAATTACTATTTCTGGTAAGTTCCTGTCTCAGATACGTAACTCAGCTAGAATAGATATTTTAGTGATAAAATTATGTCGGATTTGTTATTTAGTGTGAATCTGACATTTGAGTTTCCTTTTATAATGTTTCTTTTTGTTATTTCAGGGAAGGAGATTACAGCAGAAACTTTTATGGAGAAGTTGGACAATGGTGCCTTGCTCTGTCAACTTGCAGAAACTGTGCAGGAGAAATTTAAGGAGAGCATGGATGCTAATAAGCCCACAAAGGTAAAAGATCCCAGTGCAAAATCACTCTTAGCTGGTAGATTATATTTATAATTGCTTGTAAATTGAATGTAATTTATAAATTTATTGTGAATGGATATATGAAGGTATGTACTAAAATCAAAGTACAGAGGGTTCTTTTTAATTAGCTAACATGTTATTTGCACTCTAATTACATAAATTACATAATCCTTTTGGTGAATCTAATTGAACAAAAGCTTATGCAAAATGATGGTATTAAAAGAGTATTGTGTATAAACTTGCTGAATCTGAAGTACTGATTAAAAATTTAGCAGAGAAATAATTGTGTCATTAGGCAATGCCCAAATCCAGCCAAGAAAGATGTACTGAATAGATCTTTGTTTTAAAAAATATTATGGCAGAATACTAGAACAAAATTTCTGGAGTGTAATTTTTTGTTTATTCTAAATAAGTAGTACCATTGAACTAAGTAAATTTGGACAAATTATTTTATTTCTGACTGCTCAGATTTCTTTTCTGCATATTAGTTCTACTATTCTTTTCTAGTTATTATAAACACTTGATGAAAGTATGGTGTTTAACAGGAGAGAATGTACTTAATTTTTAATAGAGAGTGAAAAGAGATGTAAAAATGTTAAAATAATGTTGACCAGGTATGGTGGCTCACGCCTGTAATCCTAGTACTTTGGGAGGCTGAGACAAGCAGATCATTTGAGGTCAAGAGTTTGAGACCAGTCTGGCCAACATGGTGAAACCCTGTCTCTACAAAAAAAAAAAAAAAAAAAAAAAAAAATTGCTGAGCATTGTGACACATGCCTATAATCCCAGCTACTCAGGAGACTAAGGCAGAAGAATTGCTTGAACCCAGGAAGTAAAAGTTGCAGTGATCAGAGATCACGCCATTGCACTCCAGCCTAGGTGACTAGGTGACAGAGTAAGACTCTGTCTCAAAAAAATATAAAATTAAATTAAAATGTTGAAGACAACTTAAGACAAAAAGCAACTGTTAATCCATTTCTGCAACTCTGTCAGAAAAAATAAAAGGTTTGTGTTTGTGTGTGTGTGTGTGTGTTAGCACTGATTTTATTTTTTAGATATTTTATATATAAAAGGATTATGTATTGTATAATACTGAAAGAATTATGTAAAGTATTATATAATATACAATGCCTTCCTCTTACTATTTTCTTAATCTTAAAAGCAACTCTGTGAAGGTATTAATTAATTGATTTCCAAACTTTGCTGCACGTTGGAATTACCTGAGCATCTTTAAAATAATGCTGAGAGCTGGGCTAGATGTCGTGGCTCATGACTGTAATCTTAACACTTTGCAATGGTGAAGGCAGGCAGATTGCTTGATCTCAGGAGTTCAAGACCAGCCTGGGCAACATGACAAAACACCATCTGTAAGAAAAAACACAAAAATGTTAGCTGGGAATGGTGGTGCATTCCTGCAGCCCTAGCTACAAAAATAATAATAAAATAAAATAATACTGAGACCTGTATCCCATGCCTGAACATTCCGATTTAGTCCCATAGGGTGAAACCTGGGCACTAGAATTTTTAAAAAGCTCCCTAGGTGATTCTAATGTGCAGCAAAGTTTGGTAACCATTCATTTCTTATAATTTTCTCCTTAAGTGGATGGTTGAAGACTCTAAGTAATTTGTACAAGATTGGATAGAAAGTGACCAACCAAGAATTTGACAGAGACAACTTTTAGTGCTCTCTCATTTTGGTTCATTATGGGTAGCACAGGTGTGAGGAGACTGTTTATGAAAATACTTTGTGTCAAGCTTAGTGTTAAGACACCAGTTTTTCTTCTCTCATTTTCATTGTAATGTAACTGGCCTTTAAATCAGCTACCTGATGAAAAAACATAATGCCAATAAGGGGACAATTTGTATAGAAGGTTTACTGTAAAGCAATGAACAGAGGAAAATAAGCTGTTGTGCCCAGACTCTTGAAAGTATTACATTCACATTACAAAGTTCCTGAAACCTGTATTGCTTATTGTTGAGGATGGAGAGCCCAATACCTCAGTGTTAAGAATCCTTGAATCCTGGCCGGGCATGGTGGCTCATGCCTGTAATCCCAGCACTTTGGGAGGCCAAGGCGGGCGAATCACAAGGTCAGAAGATCAAGACCAGCCTGACCAATATGGTGAAACCCCATTTCTACTAAAAATACAAAAAATTAGCCAGGCATGGTGGCACACACCTGTAGTCCCAGCTACTCAGGAGACTGAGGCAGGAGAATCCCTTGAACCAGGAGGCAGAAGTTGCAGTGAGCCAAGGTCATGACACTGCACTCCAGCCTATGTAACAGAGCAAAACTCCATCTAAAAAAATAAAAAGAATTCTTGAATCCTCTTGAGTAATAAAGATTAACCAACTCTGTTAAGACTATTGTGCAGTTTTCTTGTTTTGCTTTGTTTGCAAGCGGTTGCTTTTTTAAAACAGAAGCAAAGATTCTCAAATAGATTTGTAATTGTAAGACACAAATGTAAGATAACCCTAAAGCATTAGCCTATAGGTCAAAGGCTTTGACAATAAGTACATTTTTCTTGGTTTCTAGTTTTATTTATTATTGGGAGGCATCTGAGCCATGGTTTTCGTATCTGTAAAATAGGATTAATAATTACATATGTATACATTCCATAGAGCATTGCACAAAATAAGGCTCTTGATAAAATCTCTTTTCCCCATGTGAAAGTTAAGAGACCTTTATAAGAATTTTCTATTAATTATAAGAAAATAAATACTTTATGGCCATGGCCATACCACCCTGAACACATCCTATCTCGTCTGATCTGCGAAGCTAAGCAGGGTTGGGCCTGGTTAGTACTTGGAAGGGAGAAAATAAATGACTTATAAATATTTGTATTTATCATGATAGCTGCTATGCACAAATATGTATACATTTTCCCCAATCTCCATAATATATAATATTGATAATATTTATAGATCTATAGTTATATAACTACTTCCCTTCAAAACATTTATTTCAGTATTATAATTTTTATTATAAAACTATAAAACATAAAAGGAAACAAAAGAATTTTTTTCTGTTAGTAGAACTGCAGTAAGTTATTAAATTTGAAATCGTTCCTTCAACCTAAGTAATTTTGTTTAACTGAATATAAAGCTATTTTTTTTCTGATTGCAATAAAGGTTTTAGTATAAAAATTTAAATGTGTTATTTGAACAAGTCAGGTTTCAAAATACTTATTATCATCCCACCAAAAAGACACATGCACCTGTATGTTCATCGCAGCATTATTCACTATAACAAAGACATGGAATCCACCCAGATGCCCATCAATGGTGGACTGGATAGAGAAAATATGGCCCTATATACCATGGAATACCATAAGAGACTAAAATCATGTCCTTTGCAGAAACATGGAGGCAGCTGAAGGCCATTATCTTAAGCAAGCTAATGCAGGAAACAGAACCGCCTGCCACATGTTCTCACTTATAAGTGGGAGCTAAGCATTGAGTACACCTGGACACAAAGAGGAGCACAATAGACACTGGGCTCTACTGGTGCAGAGAGGGAATGAAGAGGGTGAAGGTCAAAAAACTACCTATTAGGTTCTATGCTCACTATCTGGGTGATGAAATCATTTATATTCCCAGCTTCAGTAAGGTGCAATTTACTCACCTAACAATCGTGCACATGTATCCTCTGAACCTAAAATAAAAGTCGAAAAAAATACTAATTATGGCCTCACTTTCACTCAATACATCAAATTTGATCTGAGGTACAAGTTGACACATTTTCTCTTGACTGAATTGCCTTCTGTGTTCTTGACAGCATTTATATATTCACAACTGACTGCCAGTAATATGCAGCTTGAATCAATAATAACATGTGCCTTATTTGCAAAGATGGTTACATTTTCTTTTCTGCATTTTGTAGTCAAATTTTTAAAAGATGAAAAGCCAAAAGGTCAGTATGTATATCTTCATGGCTATTATTGTTCATAAATATACATCTGTTAAACTCATGATTTTCAGTCTATTTTTGGTCTATAGACAAAAAAAAGTTATGAGATAGTAAGCATGTTGATACTGTTAAATCTAAATACAAATTTAAACATAATGGATTCACTAAAACCCAGGTAATTAGGATTACAGTGAATATTTCCCATGGGGAAAAAATGAGGCTTTCAAATTTGGCATTTTATCTGCAGGATGAAGTCTGGAGATTACAATATTAAGTCTGCTTTTACACGTGTGTACACTCAGGTGTTCATGTATGTGTTAGTATAGAATTATTTTCATTTTGGCATTTTGAAGTTTAGACAAAATGGTGGTGAAAATAGGTGAATTAGTCAATACATTCTCTGAATTAGTGAAACTGTGTACAAGGAGATGTTGAAACAAAATTACTTTAAATAAATCGACAACAAGCTTGATCCTCTCCAAAGCCATGCTTTGTAAATTTTTTCTATCAGCTTAAATCTTATCTCCTCATTTTCATAGCAATATTTTTTATTTTTCCTGGTTGATAGTTAATTTGGGGATTTTACAGCTGTATAAACGAATTTGAATGAGTAAGTTATGCCTGGTATATGTGAAGTATGTCTGCATTAAGAATGATTTAAATGCTCTTAAATCTGAAAGTAAATTTTAATAAATATTAGTTTGCATATTTAATATTTTAGATATAAATCTGTGACTCCTTTATATCCAGCTTTCATTTGATAAAATACTCTGAATGGAAATATTTCTCTCCTATGATTCTTTCTTTCTAGATATCAGTAGGTCAATTTAAAAATAGCTTCTTTATGTGTATGAGCTCTAAGAAGTTAATCTTACCCTTTGTGTAGTGGGCTTTTTCTCACTCTGCATGGGAGCAATGCAGAGACTTCACAGATTTGGACACTAGATGGTTGGAAGCATTTGAGACCAGTGTGCAGCTGTTTAATATGTAATTTTATTTAATTCATTTATGTATGCTATAATATAAATTCACTTTAATTATAAATATGAATATTCTTGGAGTTGAGGACATT